CGATCTTCAAATTTGGGAACTATTGTAAAACAAGAAGTTAGCACTCCCTCCTAAAATTATAGAAATCAGAAGAAAGAAAACTAAGATCCTACCGAACTTACCCACTTGACACCTAAGGTATCACCATCAATCAGAGAACTCCTAATAACAAAAAAAAGTATTTCTTTTTTCATCCAGTACTATGGAAAGACGTGTTCAGAACTAAATGGTTTCTCTCTGGATTTATTTTCAAAGCAATACGGGAAGAACCAAAAGTTTTAAGATCATAGAAACTAGCAATATCAGACAAACCAAAATCAAGATTCTCTTTTTATTGAGATAATCTATCTAGAACAAAACACGCAAAACCATGGACATGATTTGGACAAAAGGGAAACGTGTAACCTCAAAGAATTCAAAAATCAAAGATGGAAAAGTAAAACAAAGCCCAAACGGGAAAGGAATGTGGTAGAAACAAATATGTGACGCATATACGAAACTGGATCTCAATCTTGTGTCATACGACCTGAAGATTGTTTGCAAAGGGAATACTATTTATGTCCTAACAGATTCGATTCTAGTGTTAGAGAAAGTGTTGGTTTCTCTATTATTTTAAGCACCCCTGATTCTATGAAGTCTTTGTAGATAAAACCCTCATTGTCATTTTTCAAGGCAATGATGATTTTATCTATGATTTTAGAAGAAGCAGAAGAAATAGACAAGCTTACCTAAGGAATGGACTTGATGAACGAAGATGAAAGAATGTAATAACAATTTATGGATAAACGAATTATTTTTAATTCAAATTTGTTCGGAAATTGAACAGACGTTCCGACTTTCCAGTAAATAACGACTAAATTATTCGACTCAAGGATTCTAGAAATCTCCAATCACCGAGGATCTTGGATTGAAGATTTATGGGGGTAATTGTTATTGGTAGAATTTTCAACTTACTATTCATATATCTTGAACTTGAACTAACATCTCAGTCAAGCCCAAGATATTGTATTTATTCAATATCACGGATTTTCATCGTTTTTCTTGTGAAATCTTATGCAAGGAGTTAATACCTAACGAAAAAGAACAAGACCAATTCAAAATCATGTGGTTAATACTAAAAGAACGTTGATGACCCTTGAGAAATCCGGGTCAAAAAAACATCAAGGAGAATCCTAAGCTTCTCCAAATTTTAGTTATTATCATTATATATAAAAAGACTAGTTTAGTATATGCACACAAACACATTCACTTCTCATATCTCTCTAATTCTCTTGACACTTGGGCACAAACACTTTCTCTCTAAGATCAGCTAACAACTTTAACCATTTTTTTTTAGTTAACATAAGTTCTAAGGCATGTGAGTTTATCACCTCTTGAGGTTTTATGTTAGAGATCCAAAAGAATTAAGAGCTTTCCTCATATATCATAGTGTTCCTTTCTTGATTTTACTTGTTTATGATTATTTAATCGATCACAACACTTTTTGCACACTTAATTGATTGTTAGTTTATTTACAGATTAAATATCACGATATCATGTGGTATCTTGATATCTTTTTAAGTACTTAATAGCTTCTTATTTATAAATCACTTGAGAATCGTCTTAAAACCACTTTTGTCCTAATTACTTAAAATACACTTGTTTTCACTTTAACACGGATTAATTATGTTCGATAGATTTCTAAATATCATTACCTTTCCCTAGGATCTTGGGCTCTACCAAGATCTTCAACGTATTTTAAGATATTTAACACTCTAGTTCTTAACATCATAAAATTAACATCACACCGGACTTACTAATTTGGTTACGAAATTAGTTTGTTAATTCTTTACCAAAACAAAACAATGTTTATACTTTCGAATATAATTAATCACTTTAACTCAAACTTTAAATCACTTTAATTTGGTTACTAAAAGATTAAAGTGATTTAAAGTTTGAGTTAGAGATTCGTTCTCGTGAACAAAACAATGTTTATACTTTTGATTAAAATTGTTCTCTCTGGTAGCCTTAACTTCATCAGTCTCTTCATAAGCCACAGTTAACGTGTCTATCATCTCTCTGACTAAAGTACAATTCTAAACAAGATGGTATGTGTTATATGGAAGAGAGTTTGCTACAGAGCATATACGAGCATCAAGATTGAGCAGTTTCTTATCTTAGTATGTGTATTGATGTGGTGGAGTCCTCTTTTTTACTCTAGTGGGAACACCTTCTTTCGTCTCTAAAAGTTGGAATATGTGGACTGTCAGGGAGGATATCCAACATATTGCAGTCCACGGTTTCAAGAACAACCATGGCATTGCATTTCCACATTGCAAAATTCTTTTCATTGAAAAAAGGAATTTTGGTAGCTGATATATAACTAATAGTAGGCTTAGATCCATAAGAACATGCCATTGCTTGATAAAAGAAAACCTACTCTGATACTAGTTGTTGGAATGTACTAACAGAATATCAAGCAATAAAGAACGACGATTAATCAAAAACCAATTTTGATTAACAACTCTCACAAAGAGAAAATGCACAAAGTGTCGTATCTTACAAAGAACCCTAGTGTAACTTGTATACTAGGGTCAAGACTATTCTAGAATGAAATCCCTACAAATCAGGGATTTGAAATACAATAAGATATACATAATACAAAAGAAGATCATATCACTAAGATAACAGATCTGGAACCTTGAAGCACAAGTGACGTTGCACTGAAAGATTCATCGGTTGATAATGATGTTAACATAATATCTGCTTGACACTAATTCGACTCATGATATTATAAGGTTCGACATTACATTTCTTTTTCTTTTGAATATAAAAGCTAGAATCTTAGTTTTTGAATTTCCTCTCTTAGAACAAAAGTATGTTGGACTCAATTTTCAATCTTAAAAGGATGTTTCGACAATAATGAACTAGCATTCCAAGTTGCAGTTAGAGCTTGTTGGCGGACTTAATCTAGAGAGATTCAATTTCGAGTTCTTAACATCATCATCATCGGTCAGCCTCCCGTAAGTACCAAAGGACAACTAAGGTTGTTTACCTTATCCTTTTGTGGTTGTTGTATTAAAATATTGCATCTACATGTAAAGTGATCTTGTTGTCGATTTTATGTTGTCGAAGTTTTATTTTAAAGTCTTCTGTTGTAAAATCGACATTTTATGTTTTGAAACTTGATCTTGAACACTATATTTCCATCACATCTGTTGGTATGAGAACCATCTTTAACTACATGCATAGCTAATCCGTAAGTAATTACCTACGGATTCGTGACAAATTTTTCTTATTTTTGTATTTTCGAGCACCGAACGTCGTTTTTTCCACTTCGTATTTTCACACCTCTATTATACATTATTATCTATATTTTCACCAACTTATAACTATTAATATCATTCATAATGGTGTATGGACCTTCGGGTCCATTATTGATTTCATTGTTTCACATTGTAATGTTTACACTTTCACTAACAAGCTACTTTGTTTCTTTTAAATACATGCACATACACATACACATACACACATACATACACATACACATACATACATATACACATACACACATAAACATACACATACACATACACATACACATTCAAATACACATATACACATACACATACATACACACATACATACATATACAGAAGCACACACATGCACACATACACATACATACATATACATATATGTACATACATATACTCACATACATACATACATACATACATACATACATACATAAATACATACACACATATATAGTTATACAAATATACATGTTTCCCTAATTATCATTATTTTTCATTATTTATACATTAAACGTATATTATTTCACCTTATTAATGTGTTAAACATAGTTTTTTTTCTTTTGTTCGTTTGTTTGTATGTTAAACACATTTGTTATCATTATTATATATTATCATTATTTTATTATTATTATTATTATTATTATTATTATTATTATTATTAGTACTCTTAGTATGATTTTTAATTGTTTGTGTTTTAAATATGCAAAAACAAAACGATCTAAAAAAAAGTTTTAAGACTCGAATAATGAAAAATAATAATAATTGGAATAATAATAATAATAATAACGGGGATAATAATAATAATAATAATAATAATAATAATAATAATAATAATAATAATAAAATTATAAACCCGTCGCTATTTCCTAGCTATTTTGTAGTTATTCTCTTCCGTAAGTAGTATGTAGCTACTCTGTAGCTAACTACCTACGGATTTACTTCCGTCGCTATTATATAGCTGTTCCGTAGCTAATTACCAACAGAATACCTACGTATTTACGTCCGTCGCTATTCCATAGCTATTTTGTTACTAAATTAAGGCATCTCATTCTGTAGGTATTATATAGGTAATTACCATCGAAAATTTTCCGTAGCTATTTTCTGTAGCAAAACCCGTTGTTTTCTAGTAACGTGGATGGAATGAAAATATTTGGTTTTTTTAAGCGATGGACGATGTATGAAAAGTTCGTACATGGATTCTTTAACATGTAATGTTAGTTTATAATAAAATATGATCAACTACATGCATTTGATTAAATTGGAAAAGACGAAGACTGTGGGTCTCCTTGGTAACAGAAGTCAATCTAGCTGATTTGCTACAGTCATATACATATACATATACATATACAGGATTAATCATGAAACACAATGTTTATAACTTAAAAAAGTAGGTAATAAAATACTAATATAGTAATTGTTTCATCACGTTGCTTTTTAATAGTAATAAAAGTATGTAAGTTTTAAATCTGACTCATCATAGTCCTCAATGTCCATGTGCAGGTGTGATAATGAGACAAAATTTTACCATGTGCAACTGTAAAAGATGACGGTGCAGCCAAGCGCGGATCTTTATAAGAATTACTTTGGGAAGTACCCATTTGTATATTATGTAAAGAAAACCACGAGTGAATTATAAAAAGCATTGGCTTACCGAGTATTGAGAATGGTGCTAGACAATGATGCTATGGTGTTGACCCGGTCAACTACGTACATCCAGTTCTAATGAACGTGCTCACTTGGCTCTATGATATAGTATTATGTTTCCTTTTGTTTCTGCTTTGCATATTCTTTTTAATAAACGTGGAACATATTCAGTTTTCAAATCACCCACCACCAACGTCAGTAATTAATCAAAAAAGAAAGTTCGGCAGCCACCACCACCACCCAAAGGCCAAAGCTGCCATGAGTAGGCAAGCTGCTGTCATGGAGGATCTTGGCTCCATCCAGGCCTAACATCAATATGGGCACAAGGAGAAGCACCAAGATAAAGATTTACGTCTCTTACTTTAGTTAAACATCTTTTTGAGAAATCGATACCATTTTCTAGAAAATACAAGATTTTATTATTTGAATAACGGGTTCTTGGTCATTGTCAGCATCTTCGCAAGTTCATGTAGCAGTGGTTTCTCAAACTCTGAGCTTTCTCTTTTTCCTCTTCTTTTGTAAAGGTACATCTACGCGTCTGTACCAAAAAAAAAACTCGTACACAACAAAATTTCGTTATTAATGCAATTTTATACGGACTTACAGGAGCCTTCGGGGTTACTTTTACTATTGTAAACGACTGTGGGTTCACTATCTGGCCTGTTATCAATAGCTATCGACCTTTTATAAATGAAACCGGATTTGAGCTCGCAAAAGGTAATTCACGCTCTATAAAAGCTCCGACTATCTGGGAAGGTAGTATATGGGGTCGGACAGGTTGCAACTTCAATAGGTCAGATAAATGGTCATGTGTTACAGGTGACTACGGCAGCAATGGGACCACTTTTACTGATTTCAGCATCAATCAAACCCAAACCCACAGCCAGGATTTTTATGATGTCAGCATTTCCGAGGGCTACAATTTGCCCATACTTGTGGAGGCCACTTCAGGTTCAGGTTCAGGTTTAAGTAGTTGTGCGAAGACGGGTTGTGTTGAAGACTTGAATAAGCAGTGTCCAAAGGAGCTAAGTTCAGCAGATGGAAAGGTATGTATGAGTGCTTGCTTAGCTTTTGGCTCTCCAGAGTATTGTTGCGGTGACTCCTTCTCGTCACCCTCATCTTGCAAGCCAACAGCATATGATCAGTTTTTTAGATCAGCCTGCCCAAGATCTGAAATATATACTACCAGGTCCGATCGAAAGTCTAGCATATATACGTGTAATGGTGCCAATTACACCATTAGATTTTGTGCTGCTGCAGATTCATTTTCAACAATCAAACTTGGTGGCCAACTCAAGTCTACAGACCAGCTTGTTTCGGTGCGTGGAAATTTTACATTAGGGTTCTTTGGTGAAGATTACAGTTACTTGGGAATTTGGTACACAAGCGATGTTCTATCCACAAAAGTATGGGTAGCTAATCCAAATGCACCGATCATATCCACCCCAGGCACTCATACCCTATCCATCAGTGCCAAAACCGGAGACTTGGTCATCAGTGCAGGATCCAAAACTCTAATGAGAATCACCGATGTTAAACTGGGTCCAAACGCAAATGTGACTGCAACCCTCGAAGATAATGGTAATTTCCGGCTGATTAACCAAGTTGACAAAAGAGTTTTGTGGCAGAGTTTTGATCACCCAACCAATGTACTTTTACCTGGCATGAAGCTTGGGTATGACATGACAGCAGGCCAGAATTGGACTTTGACTTCTTGGTTGAGCAATGAAAACCCTGAATCAGGACCTTTTACTCTGAGTTGGGAACCCACTCAAAAAGGATCCCAGAGATTAATGATTCGACGACGAGGACGACCCTACTGGACTAGTGGGAATCTAAACAACAAAATATTTCAATATATGTTTGCATTGAATGGCCCAGGTAGTCAATCCATGTATAATCTCACTTTTGTATACAACAATAAAGAAAGATACTTTAGCTATGATGGTAGTACTTCTGTTTTACCCATGTGGATTTTGACACCAAACGGCCATATTAGAGATATTAATAATGCTACTGCTTGGAGCCCTGAGTTTTGTTATGGATACGATACTGGTAATGGTTGTGTGGAGTCGAGTTTTCCTAAGTGCAGGACAGAGAACGATAATTTTAGTAAAAAGAATGGGGATTTTGCTCAGGATATGACAAAAAGTGTTACTGATGGGAACTCAAGCTTAAGCTTTAACGATTGTTTTGTTAAGTGCTGGAATGATTGCAAGTGTGTGGGGTTCAATAGTAATACCACCAATGGAACTGGTTGTGTAATTTGGACAGGAATCAATAGGTTTTTGGTTAATCCTCTTGATAACTCTACATCAAAGTATGTGATCAGCCAAAATCCAGACAATCGAAGTACAGGTAATAATGTTGATTTCCGATGGTTTTTGATACCATTTAAAACCTCCTTAAAACTAAACAAGCCAAAATGCAGGAAACAATACACAAAAGAGCAAGAATTGGATATGGATATCCATTACTGTTTCCATTCCTCTTGTTTTCCTTTGTTTTGGGGCTTTATGGTATATAAAGAAGAGAAAGCATAGACAAAAAGGTATAGAACCAGCAACGATATTAAATCAAGCTGATGTTTGTACTTTCTAGTTGCATCTTTTGTTAAGTCACTGATGTTTGATTGTAGAAATTGAGAGACGGGAGAGAGATGAATATTTTGTGGAGCTGACAACTTCTGAAAGCTTCAAGGATGTACATCGACTTGAACCAGATGGTGTGAAAGGAAATGATTTATTATTATTTAGCTTTTCCTCTATCATGGCTGCCACCAATGATTTCTCGGTTGAAAATAAGCTCGGACAAGGTGGTTTTGGACTTGTTTACAAGGTTACACTACTGTCACTTCAAACTTTTATGATGGATCTTTTTGGTTCTTGCATTTGTATGTCCATTTTAACAAAAAGATATATCATTCAATTATAAAAACAGGGAAAACTAAGTGATGGGAGAGAAATAGCAATCAAAAGGCTTTCAAGAACATCAAAGCAAGGGCTTGTGGAATTCAAGAATGAACTAGTACTCATAGCTAAACTCCAACATACAAATCTTGTTCGAGTTCTCGGTTGTTGCATTCACGGGGAAGAAAAGATGTTAATATATGAATATATGCCCAATAAAAGTTTAGATTTCTTCGTATTTGGTATGCATATTGTTTAAAACATAAGTGCATTCAATTCTTTTACTTGTGACATTTATTATAAACTCTTTCACCGGCTTGCAGATGAAAACAGAAAGCCAGAGTTGGATTGGCCTAAACGATTTATCATTATTGAAGGAATTGCTCAAGGGTTGTTGTACTTGCATAAGTACTCAAGAATGAAAGTTATTCATAGGGATCTAAAAGCTAATAACATTCTTTTAGATGAGAGGATGAACCCCAAGATTTCTGATTTTGGTATGGCAAGAATATGCGAGCAAAATGAGACCGAGGCAATGACTAACAGGGTGGTTGGAACATAGTAAGTCATCTCCCTTTAAATATCAAAAATCCCATTGAGTTATTCTCTTTCATGGTCCATCTATCATCAAAAAGTTAGATTTAATATTACCAAGGAGAACTAGCATAATTATACAAATCTAGATAGAGTATCTTTTAGATGAATTTGTTGTTTTTCTGATTCAATGCTATCTATTTCTAAAAAGTCTTGGGGACTATTTTGTATTCAGTGGTTATATGTCTCCTGAGTACGCAATGAGGGGGATTTTCTCAGTCAAGTCCGATATCTTCAGCTTTGGTGTCTTGATCCTGGAAATCATCAGTGGAAGAAGAAATAGTAGCTTTGTCCATCTTGATGAGACATACAACCTTATTGGATATGTAAGTAAAGTCAAATTCAAATTTTAACATCTTTAGCATCTTAAATAAAAATGAGACCATCTTACATTATTCACTCACACAATTATATATTACGGTTGACCTATATATCCACGATGTCCAAACAGCTTAACTGATACAAGCTACAGAAGCAAAGGGGAATTTACTCGTTGACTTTTATTACTTATTAACCAGTTTAACCTTAATGATTTAGGCATGGGTGCTATGGCATGGGTGCTATGGCAACAAGGGGATACATTGGAATTAAGGAAAAATTGGAATTAAAGGAAAAATTGATCAAATCATTAATCATCTGTTAATGATTTAGGCATGGGTGCTATGGCAACAAGGGGATACATTGGAATTAAAGGACCCATCACTTGGAAATACTTGTGATGAACAACAATTCTTGAGGATTGTTCATGTTGCCCTTCTCTGTGTACAAAAGAATGCAATAGATAGGCCAACAACATCAGAGATGATCTCCATGCTTCTCAATGACTCCATATCACTACCCACTCCAAACAGACCAACATTTTTGATAGGTGGAGGGGACTCAAAATCAACTTCATATGAAATCAAAGCAGAAGATTTCTCTGTGAATAATGTGACCATCTCTGTTGTTGGGGTCGATAGGGTTTGAAAGTAGCTTCAGCATATCATTCTTTGTGAAAAACTTTTCTGTAATATAATTTATATTTATTCATTTTTATAGGAGATGCAAATCCACTTTTCTATACTTGTTAATTGTTATATGCATCCAGAATTGCCACTTCAAAATACAAAGTACCCTTTTTAGAGGTCTATCCATATTAAATACGTTGATAAATAAGTAAAGAACATCTTGTGCAAGCTTGTGGATAGTAGATTCATTATTAGCTCAATTTCAAAGCTTTCTCAGTCTAGGAAGTCTGGATGTAACATGCATAAAAATCATGTCAAATTAAAACTTTTTAAAATCATTCAGAAACCATTAATTATTACAAAGTGTTTTCAAAATAGTTTCATATCAAAGTTCCCAGAAATCCCAAGTCATAAAATATGAGGATGTGTATGTCACGCCTTCGCCTTCCCGCAGTCCTCAGAAGTACCTAAAACAAAACTCATAAATGTAAGCTCGAAGGCTTAGTGAGTTACCCCCAATATACCGATACTCATACCATCTACATAACAATAACAATAATATCATAACAGCTTGTAATGGGTCCACAGCTACACAGACTGGATTACCCCTGAGCCCACAATATGAGTCTGCTATGCCCTCCCCGGCCCACAGCTCATATCTGGCTTGCTCTCGAGCCCAAAGCATAAGTCTGGCTTGCCCCACGGCCCACAACCTATTTCTGGCTTGCTCTTTCGGTCCTTGGACTGGAATATAAATAATTAGCCCTCAGTACGAGTCTAGCATACATAGCTAACTCATACTCAACATATCAATAACTAGTAGGATATCAAATCTTATGGGTCGGCCTTGGTGCTTTAGGCCCCTTAGTATAGTGAGGACAACTCACCTTGCAAGTAGCTTAGAGTGCTAAAGTCAAATCCTCCAAGTATAGCCCCAACTCCAACACCTACATCCACCAATGATCCACTTCCATAATTTCCCAATTTACCAAAATACCCCCATGAAGTCAAACTGGTGAACCCTTGGTCAAAGTCAAAGTCAACGGTCAAGGTCAACAACCCAGGTTGACCCAACACGTCGAGTGCAGCTCACAGACTCGTCGAGTCCTTCTTGAACTCGAGAAATCGTGAAAACCCTAGTTGACTCGCCGAGTTTCCAGACAACTCGTCGAGTCTATGTGTGTCCAAAAGTCGGGGAAAACCCTAACTGACTCGTCAAGTCGTCTCACTAACTCGCCGGGTCCATGCAGGAACCAATAACGGAAAACCCTCCCCAACTCGTCGAGTTGGCTTATCCACCTCGTCGAGTTCATGCAGTCCATTTCTTGTCCAGGCGATTCTAAGCTACTCCAATGCTCCAATCAGTAGATCTAGCCTCCTAGGGTATGTTAACTACGTAAAGTTGCAGACTTTACATGCATGTAAGGCCATAAGAGTCAAAACAAGATAAAGGGAAGGTTAAACCGAGAAGAGAGACCTTAGCTTGCTAAATCTGATGACTTTATGGCTATAGGGACATATAGGAATCCAAATCTGAAGTTACAACTTCAGATCATGCCCCAATACCCGGATTGACTCATAATTATGCTAAAAATGACCCTAAACCTTGCATGAAGAGATCTATCTAAGGATAAGTCAAGGTAACGACTTGTTACCTCCAAAATGATGCCAAGAAGAAGTAGAAACTGGATCCACACGTTTCTCCTTGCTCCAATCCCTTTAGTCTTCTAGTTCCTTTCACAAGATCACCTTCCAAGTTTCTTTACATATAAAATGAAGAGTAAACATCGATTTAGGGTTTCTGGACTCAAAACGGGGTTGTAAGGGAGGCTAAGGGGGCAAATGACCCTTTAAATAGGGTGTAAAACCCCGGAAATTAGGGTTTCTCATTCCAGCTCCAACTCGTCGAGTTGGGTCCTCCAACTCGTCGAGTTGGTCACTTAAAACACGTGGCCAAACTCGTTCCTACGCGACGAGTTGGGGCATCGAACTCGTCGAGTAGGCCTTCCCAAATGAAAATAAAGCTGTAAAAATTTGTACCCGAGAGTCGGGGTGTTACACTGGAATTTATGCAGCTTGATTGGGGAAGACCGGTCACTAAATAGAAGCATCATCGAAATGTGACTGGGCTGCATTTGTGGAAATATATAAATAATTTATAATTATCATCCCTTCATAGATTTTTACATTCCCTTATTAGTTTAGGTTTTAAATCATGTTAATTTGTCTCTTCAATTTCCTCATGGTGTCAGTCAATTGTATACACATTCACAAGAGCAACCAAACATGTTTAAATTCAGTCAAGAGGAATCTGAGATTTCATCCATCACTTTCCAACAAAATCGAATATCAAACACCAAAACCAACCTTGACCATAAAGAATCTTGGTTGCCCCAAAGTCGAATCAATATGAATTCAAGTTTGGGCACCAACCCACGAGTAAAAGCACCAAATAGAAAATCCAAGTGTTTATCTCAACAACTTGTCTAAAGCTATAGAAAAAAAAATAGTAGAAAGGATTTAGTATTAATATAGTGATTCGACAACAATGACTATGATACGCTATTGAGCCTCCATCACTGTAATGGTCATATTGTTTACAGAATAGTCCTCTAACTTTCTTTCAACTGAAGTTGACTTCAAGACACTTCTGCCAATGAAAAATGTTGGTTGCTTTGGGACAGGTAATGACATGGTGTCATTGTTAAGCATAGAGATCACATCTGACATCTCTGGTCTATCTAATGCGTTTTCTTGTATGCAGAGAAGTGCCACATGGATAGTCCTCAATAATTGGTGTATGACATGAGTATTTGTTAGCGTTTGGTCCTCTAACACCAATGCATCCCCTTTCAACCATAGCTCCCATGCCTAAAACCATTCCAAAGTCTTCAATTATTACATGTAATTCGACTTTTTCACGTCACGCAAAATATTATTCAATTGCAGTGGCTGCAATATATATATATATATATATATATATATATATATATATATATTTCAAGTGAGCTTATGTATCTGATTAGATTGACTGTTTTGTCAAGATAAGAGAAGCTTGTATTTCTTCTTCCGCTGACAATTTCTAAGGTTAAGACTCCAAAGCTGAAAACATCAGATTTCACCGAGAAAGTCCCTTCCATTGCATATTCAGGAGACATGTAACCACTGTGTAACATATTTCACATAGATTCAGTACCTCAAGCACCAAATTACACTCGTACTTGAAGATATGTATGTGTATATATCCATTATCCGATCGTATTTAAGATATATGTAGAGTCTTAATTTTCTTTCCAAAAGAGCCCTTATGGAGAAAGGATAGACTCCAACACATATATAGTGACATATAAGCTGATGTGGGACATTGATAATTATTACGTCTTACATTTAAATTTGAAGCTTAAAAGAAACTATGCTCCCACCCTGTGTGGTATAAGTAAACAGTTTTGACTAAAACCAATATACAACATAGACAAGTGAAAGGGAAGGACGTTCTTACTATGTTCCAACAATCCTATTAGTCATTGCTTCGGACTCATTTTGTTTGAAGATTCTCGCAATACCAAAATCAGAAATATTGGGATTCATACTTTCATCCAACAAAACATTACTTGCTTTCATATCCCTGTGAATGACTCGCGTTCTAGAGTACTTATGTAAATAAAGCAAGCCCTGAGAAATCCCTTCAATTATGTTCCATCGTTTAGGCCAGTCAAGCAGTGTCTTTCTTGTTTCATCTTAATGCAAACGTTTTAACCATTTCAGATACAATGAAGTAATACCTAAACTCAAATCATCAAATTCATTTAGTTTAGTAATTTTTCTTACCAAAGATAAAGAAACCCAAACTCTTATTGGGCATATACTCATAAATCAACATTTTTTCTTCTCCACTAATACAACAACCTAGAACCCGGACAAGATTTCTATGTTGAAGTTTGGCAATAAGTACGAGTTCATTCTTGAATTCCACAAGTCCTTGCCCCGACGTTATTGAAAGTCTTTTAATTGCAATTTCTTGTTCATCACTAAGTTTCCCCTTTACTCATAAACACAAAATATATCTTTTTGTCAGATGGTAGCGGAAAAACTATTAGCAGTTTCTGAAAGCACAACCCATGTGAAAAACATAAGTACCTTATAAACAGGCCCAAACCCACCCTCTCCCAGCTTATTTTCACTTGCAAACTCATTTGTGGCTGTTGCTATAGCTGCAAAGCTGAACACCACCAAGTCAGTTCCTTTTCTGCCATTACTTTCGAGATTTGTTGCATCCTTGAAGTTGTCTGAAGCCATCGGCTCCAGAAAATATTCATCGTCTCTCTTTTTTCTATTCTCCTCTTTAGTAAAAAAAATCATCACTTAGAAAATGAAATTGTTTTAACAAACAGAAGCAAAACAAATGAATACTTGAAGTGTCAAACCTTCTCGTCCAAGCTTACTCTTCTTAAGATACCACAATAGAGCAAGGCAAAACAGAAGTAAAATAATGGAAGCAACAACGGGCGCCCAAATCCATTTTTTAGCATTTTCTGTATATAATGTCTTGTGTTAGATATTGAGGCCATATTCCTTACTAATTAAAACAGTAAGTGCATCATTTAAGCTCTTTGTATCTATATATAATCAAACTGGCGGCAATATCTATATGAATCAGGAGTTTAGGCAGTATGTTGAATTAAAGCAACAGAAATACATAACAAAGCAACCCACAAGCCATTGAATTATTTACCTTTACCCAGATTTGAAGAAACTAAAACATATTTTGGCGCAGCATTCCTTTCTGGATCGATTGAAAAGTTATTGATTGATTTGGTTCCATACCATGTGTTACAAGTGGTCCCGTTGGTACTTGTGATAAACCCCAGACAGCTGCAATCATTCCAGCACCTCACCATACAGTCACTAATACTGAGGCTTGAATTATCATCATATGACACTCTCGTCATGTCACGAGCAAAATCCCCTTTTATGCTGCTAAATTTATCATTTTCGCTCCTATACTGAAGCATATTAGAATCTGCCACACACCCATCTGAATCATACCCATAACAGAATTCAGGAGTCCACACTCCAATATTATCATTATCATGAACTTGGCCACCTGGATTTAAAACCCACATTGGTAGATAACCACTGATGTCATGGAAACTGAAGTATCTCTCTTCGTGACTGTATACAAAACTGAGATTGTAAATGGTTCGGCTATATGGAATATTCAACTGAAACATGTATGGAAAGATTTGATTATTTAGATTCCCACTGGTCCAGTAGGGTTGTCCTCTTCTTCGAATCATAAATCTCTGAGATGTTTTTCCAGTGGGTTCCCAACTCAAGGTGAATGCACCCGAATCAGGGATTTCATCGCTCATCCAAGAAGTTAAGTTCCAGCTTCTCTCCGTTCTAAGGTCCACTCCAAGTTTCATACCTGGTAAAAGAACGTTAGTTGGATAATCGAAACTCTGCCACAGAGTCTGGTCATCAGTTTCTTGGTTCTTCAGCTGGAAATTACCAGTTTCTTCAAGAGTTGCTGTCAAATTTGGACTAGAAGTGTATTGACTATCGGAGATATTCAAAAGGGTTGTTCCTCCCGTGGAAATGATCAATCTCCTAGTGTCGGGATGGATCATGAGAACCCCAAAGCTAGACCTGATCGGTGTGGATGGGTTGGCTACCCATACTTTCGTGAAGTCCAAATCATTGGTGTACCAAATTCCTAAATAAGTGTGGTTTGTAGCGTTAATGGTGAAGAATCCTAATGTGAATCTGCTAATAGGGGAAAGAAGTTGAGAAGTGAGGTTGAGTTGATCCCCAATTTTGATCGTTGAAACACCAGTGGCAAGAAAACAGTTGATGATTAGATTTGTACATACGATAATGAAGATAATGAGAATATTCATTCTTCAACAATTCACGAAGGAATTAAAATAAAGAGAGTTGAGGTGGAATTTTGATTGATGTTTTATAATGGGGTCAGATCCATTAAGTGCAGACATCGACTATTTGTCTTTGACCGGGCCGGCACCTGCCCAGGGCAGAAAGACTCTTTGGTCAGCAAATTTGAAGAAACGGAGAGTCAGATATTATTTTAAAATTGGCTACCATGAAAGAGACGTTCAAAACGCTGTCTGCTTCTTCATCACCTGTCACCATTCCATCATCACAGAATCATAGGTGTTCCATAGCATCGGAATCAGCACTCAACCCATTCCAAACGATCCATGGTCGCACATAACCGACAGTGCTGAAGATCTAATCAAAACAATACTTGATAGAAATCGGAGCAAAGAATTGCTGCTCATAAAGTTCTACGTTAGTATTAACTAATAATTAGACTTGGGATTCTGTGGCGTTGATTTTGGGAATTAAGGGGGTGTTAGGCTATAAAGGAATCTAGATTATTCCAGTGAATGGATAATCACAGATGTTTCGTATTTATCTATTTCTTTTTATCTACTTCTTTGTTTTTGTTATCTTTTACTGAATTTCAGGATCTCAGGATATATATATCCTGATTGCTTTGTATTCAAAACCTGTTACGTAATGAATGAATGAAAGAGTGCACGAATTCTCAATTAGATCTTTTATGGTATCAAAGCCTATGATCCATTAGGTCATAGGTTAACGACGATCATGACGGGGGAGAAAGGAGACGGAAGCAAGAAGGACGGAGATGTCATCGATGCCAATTCACCCTTCTATATCCACCCGTCTGACTACCCGAAACAGATGCAAGTTAACGACATATTGAACGACAATAATTTCAATGAATGGAAGCAGGAGATGACTAATTTTCTGTTTGCAAAGAATAAGATAGGATTGGTCGATGGATCAGTCAAGAAGCTGGAATCAACAGCACCTGCGTACATGGCTTGGATGCGAGCCGATGCCATGGTGAAGGAATGGATGACAACAGCCATGGAGAAAGACATTCGAACCAGTGTTAGATATGCAAATACTTCAGCCGAAATCTGGAAGGACCTTGAAGAATGATTCGAGAAGGAGGGAGCACCACGTGCCTATGAGTTGAAACAGTCGTTAAATGCCACTAGACAAGATGGATCTTCTGTCTCTTCTTACTACACGAAACTAAAGGCTGTGTGGGATGAATTGCAGCTTGTTCTTCCCATGCCCCGTTGCACGTGTGACGGATGTGACTGCGAATTGGGAAAAAGATTGAGTGAACTTAAAGAAAATGAGAAGATCTATGAATTTCTCATGGGACTCGATGATGATTTTTCTATCATCCGTACACAAATACTTGCTATGAAGCCCGCTCCGTCCTTGGGGGCAATATACCGTCTAGTGGCTGAAGATGAGCAACAACGAGCAATTTCTGGAGGTTTAAGAAGAGTTGGTGGTGAAGCAGTGGCTTTTCAAGTGAATTTAATGGGGAAGAAAAACACACAAGGGCAAGGAACTCAACCAGCTAGCAAGCCCACTCCAAAGACATTCAAGCAAAGTAATGACAAGGCAGATAAATGCACTTTTTGTGGGAAAAATGGTCACAATAAGGATGGGTGTTTCAAGAAGATAGGGTATCCGGACTGGTGGCCCGGGAAGAAGGATAAACCCAAGCCGAAGGCAGCTTGCGTGGAGATCGGTCCTAGCCCTATACCAGGGCTAACTGATGAGCAATATCACCTCTTTGTGGAACACTTCAAGGAGGAGTCACTCAATGTGTGACAACCCGAATCTTTTTTCGTTTCCAGTAACCGAATTTCTGTTAATAAAATTTGAATTTTATTGAGTCCCGTCGAATTCCTTTGGTTTGGAAAGTCATTTTGTTATATAATTGAGCTTCATATAGGAGTCGGGACCAAAACCACGCGAAATTTCGGAAATTCCTTCGAACAAGACCGGGTTCACGGTCGTACACTCGTTTACGGCCAATGTTGGGTGGACCCCACCACCGACCATCGACAAATCCCTATAAATACGAGACGCTACCCCTCATTTACACTTTTCTGACCGGTCACTCTCTCTTTCTCTCTCTAGACTCTTGACCGTACACCCCTAAAGCACCTTTATTCTTCCGAAGAACATCGAAAAACACCATTGGGGTTCATTTCGGAGCATCTAGGACACGTTTTTCACCCATTCCAACACTCCTGTTCTTGAGTATACGGTCGTATACCTTCAAGTTCATTGGCCGTACACAGTTCACAGCCGTACACCTTCAGAGACCGTACACCATTCAAGATGCAGTTTACGGTCGTACACGGTTCACGGCCGTACACTCCCTTCACGGCCGAACACACTTCCTCAGTGGTGCATTTGACTAAAAACCCACTTTTCTTGATTCAATCAAGTCCCGGTAACATTCCTTAACCAAAAGCAAGTGTTTTTATAACACTTTATCTAGCGAAATCGCTAATTTAGATACATTTATGTATTTAATTGTTATTAGGATTCCGTTAAGTGCCACACGCTACAACTCGAGGGTCTTCATTCCAATTCGTTAATTCGACGTTTGCGCACGACTAACTGTGAGTTCATACCCCTATGTCTTTACTGTTTTTAACGTTTTCAGGGGGGAAAACAAGCCAAACATAAACGATTTTATAAAATTTATAAAAAAAGGATTTCAATAAACTTAAAACGGATGCAATTGATACAATCATACATTTTCTATACGTATATAAAATGTCTAGATATTTTGTCCCTTTTGTATTATGCAGAGCATAAGGGAAGTCTTCATCATAATCATAGAACTTTCAATGTAAAACATATTTTGGATTCATGAACGAACATATAAACTATAATAGGTATAGTTTATGGAACAATTAACATATCAAGGTACAAATCATAGATTCAATGCAACCAGACATATAAACTATTAAGTGTGTAGTTTATGAGGTATTTAGACAGCAAGTTAAATTCAATGGATTCATTTTATTCTACATGTAATCGTTAGTACAACATTTTATGAGTAAGCATTCTTCGCGTACTTACCTAAGTACTAACAAAAGTCCTGAGATTATAACCAGAGTCTCCTGGAGGGGGAACGTGAGTTTGTGTATAGATCTATACGGGATTGACAATCCCGCACCATAACTGCTAGCTACAGTTAGGCCGGCAAGCCTGGGTGACAAAGTCATTTCGATTCCGACGGCTGAAGAACGTCGTTCAGGCAATTCAATGGTCAAGTATGGTTATAACAACTCATAAATTTGGTACTAAAAATATACGATAAATGTATGAATGATGATAATTTTAAATAGTTTTATTATATAATAATAGAACTACTATACATATTATAGTTTTCAAAGCTTTCCGAAACTTACTATACATACTGGGGAGAGTTTTTCTTGTAAATAAAGGTTTCTTATTCAATCAAACAATGCACAACACATTCAATGAGATTCAGTAACAAAATACACATGTTAGAAAATAATGGATTTTCTTGGAAGCATACGATTACATTCATTGATTTCTTAACCGATTTATCCTCTCAAAACATACTTATCAACTCACCAGCTTTATGCTGATACTCTTTCAAAACTGCTTGTATTCTCAGGAAATCAATAGACAGGTACCTCCTAGAGTTTTGAGAAGACGGAGCGTATAGAGTCTCGTCTTTTGCTTTTGTCATACCTTTTGGTTTCTATAAACATGAATCAAACTGATGTAAATATTTTTACTTAATTAATGTAATGGTTGTGTTTACTTTGATTACTGTAATGCAATGGTTGTGATACTATACATGATGTCATCCACCCCCAATGTTTCCGCCGTTCTGGTTTGGGGTGTGACAGATTGGTATCAGAGCCCTTGTTTATAGTGAACTAAGTATACCGAACCTTACATGGTATATAACTATAAACACTAAGGGGCCGAAGTGCTCTGAACTAAAAGTATATTTTTAAAATATAAGTATTTATAAAGAGTATACAAGTATCCCTAAGTACCAAAAACAATATCATGAGTAGAACAAAACATAAGTATTTGGATGTTGGACACTGCGGTTAAACCTGGGTAGTTATGTAATCATGTTTGGGGATCAATATAGCCTGATCAACTATATTTATTTGAGACATGACCAACATGTGTCTGGGAGTGATCGTAGTGTTGCAGCAAGCCTAAAACTTACCAAGCTATATTGTGTATAGATCTATACGGGATTGACAATCCCGCACCATAACTGCTAGCTACAGTTAGGCCGGAAAGCCTGGGTGACAAAGTCATTTCGATTCCGACGGCTGAAGAACGTCGTTCAGGCAATTCAATGGTCAAGTATGGTTAAACAACTCATAAATTTGGTACTAAAAATATACGATAAATGTATGAATGATGATAATTTTAAATAGTTTTATTATATAATAATAGAACTACTATACATATTATAGTTTTCAAAGCTTTCCGAAACTTACTATACATACTGGGGATAACCAGAGTTTTTCTTGTAAATAGAGGTTTCTTATTCAATCAAACAATGCACAACACATTCAATGAGATTCAGTAACAAAATACACATGTTAGAAAATAATGGATTTTCTTGGAAGCATACGATTACATTCATTGATTTCTTAACCGATTTATCCTCTCAAAACATACTTATCAACTCACCAGCTTTATGCTGATACTCTTTCAAAACTGCTTGTATTCTCAGGAAATCAATAGACAGGTACCTCCTGGAGTTTTGAGAAGACGGAGCGTATAGAGTCTCGTCTTTTGCTTTTGTCATACCTTTTGGTTTCTATAAACATGAATCAAACTGATGTAAATATTTTTACTTAATTAATGTAATGGTTGTGTTTACTTTGATTACTGTAATGCAATGGTTGTGATACTATACATGATGTCATCCACCCCCAATGTTTCCGCCGTTCTGGTTTGGGGTGTGACAGATTGGTATCAGAGCCCTTGTTTATAGTGAACTAAGTATACCGACCCTTACATGGTATATAACTATAAACACTAAGGGGCCGAAGTGCTCTGAACTAAAAGTATATTTTTAAAAT